CCCCAAAACCCCAAAACCCCAAAACCCCTTAATGCTGAAATTTTGTAAAAGTTAAGTACTGAAATTTTATAATTTAATTTAGTGAAGTTTATTAATGTAAAAAATGAGAGAAATTAACTTAAAAGTAATTAATTCAGAGCAGGTGGAGGCTGATATCCCAACTGTGCGTTCACATGTCAAGGAGCTACACATAAAATAAGAGTAAACTAGAATTAACCCGAGATAAATTTATCTCCGAGAAATGTACAAATAATTATCATGTCCAATAGAGCTAGAATAGGTAATTTTTATGACATTAATAAGAGAAAATACAACATAGGTAATCAGTTAAGGGATGAAATTCACTACTAATTATGCCATTGATAGTGTTGATTCTATAATTGCTGATAGCAATATATACCAGCTTTATGACTAGATGCGCTAATAGGACTAGAAAGCTGATCAGCATGTTTAAAAGAATCAATTGGTACTCTACAACTACATTATACATAAAAAGATAGAAAGAAAAATAAACCTTGTAAGTACATTTTTATGACAAAGTAAACTAAAATCATTTTTTGGAGTTATGTACATAAACTTAACTTGTCTTTAACAGCTAATCAAACCCAGATTAAAGCTAAACTTAAGTTAAATATGTAGGAATAAGAGTTAAAGAAAGTTCAATCCGAGATAAAACAGATAAAAAATCCTCTAATATCCAGCATCCCGAGCATTAACAATGGAAAATTTTAGTTCGTAACATAAATTTCATCTGCATGAAAAGAAGAAAATGGTCCATACATAGGCTCTAATAGTAGAAGTCCCGATTTATTAAGATAGAAATCCCCTGACTAAAATCTTTTGGAAAATAACTATATGCTTGTGCCTTACTATTAATCACAGTCATAGATAATTGAAAGTTAATAATCAACAACATTGCTCACAGATTAATGCAAAAAGTTTGTTTAAAAGATAAATAGAATGAAAAAAGAGAGGAAATTTAATATACTTCAAAGATAGAAGTAATTCGAATAGAGAGTAGTTTAAGAATTAAAAACTATGAGTGAACAGCGCAAAACTCGTATCTAGGAAATTGAAAACCAAAATAATAATTTGGTAGTATTTGATGAGAACAATTAACAAATAAATTCTAAGAGCTTTGCTTAAGGAGAGTTAAATTTATTATCAAAACCAAGAATTTCCTTGAATTCTAATTCCAAGTCAACCTCCAGATATTAATTATTGCCTCTAGATGAGCATAAGAAACGCCTTCTTAGACTTAAAGATATGAAAACATCTGTACCTTTATTTAAAAGGATGGAAGATAAATTCATTGAGGAAAAAGTGATTCCTGAACAGGAAAAGCTTAAGATAGCCATGATAGAGAAAAGACATTAATCTAAAAGTATATCTAAAAATGAGCTAAAGTAGCATCAGGATAAAGTTCAGGAGTGGTATCTATAGAGAAACTTTAAAAAGTAATTAGATGACCTTTCTCCATAAAAGAGTAAGAGTCCTATTAGATTCATAATGTAACTAAATGCATCATATCCAATTCAATAGTCAATTGAAAATTCACCCTATGAGTAATTAAAGAAAAAAAAGATGGATAAGCTTAAATACATTAATAAATCCAAATAATACTCGAGATTCGTTTAAGAGGTCGTCCTTACAAATGAGAACTAAAAGGTTAGAGAACCTAATCACAATCATTATCCTAATAACGAGTAAGAAGGCATGATAATTTCCAGATAAGTTTAAAAGTAACCTAATTTTATGCATAGACGAAATTAATCTAGAAGTCAACAGTAGATCAAATTTTATGATAATAACATAGAAATAAATGAGGATGCTACTGTCTAATCAAGAAAAGTCATGTCAGATCTTCCTCCAATACCTAAAAGGAAAAATAGGTAAAAAAAGGATCTAACTCTTAAGAAAAATAGCCAAAACTAAGTTCCAGCTCATTTCTACTATTCTCAGAATTATAATATTGAGAAGTAGTAGAATAAAAAAGTCTAATCATCTAAATCAGTCTCATAATTAGAGAGTAGACTTGATTTAGCTAGAAAAGATGAATACTCTGGTCCAAAACCTTAATATAAAGATTACTTATAAGAAGTAAAAAGCTAGAATGCTAGATATAAATTTAAAAAGAATAATGACAACTCAGTAATTACAATAGGATCGTATAGTTCCTAGAAAATTAACTCTAAATGGCATAAAATACTGACAAGTGATCGACTTGAACCCAAAGAAAAATTGGACTAGATAAAAATGGAATCATAGAAATTAGAGGAAAAAGCAAAAAGAATGGAGGAACTGACCAAATATGACAGGAGTCCTTTTCACTTTGGACCGGGTCATAGTGAAAGTCCTTCAATGTGGATCGATGACAGTCTCCAAGTTAATGATTTATTAGTTGAATCAATCAAAGCCAAGCTTGAGATACTTAGTAATTTGTGATTTATAGGTTGACATGATCAATATCTCAAAAGACATTTTAAATTAGATTAAATGCTATGAAACATTTAAGTACTTGCTAGATTTCTTGATAACTTGTAAAATATACTTTAACTTAATTTACTCTGAATGTTAATATATTAAGCAAATTAATTCTTAGCTATGTTAATAACTACAGCTTTTCTATCCAATACATTTCTGCACTTTGGTAATCATCTTGCCTTCTTTCTTTCTCCCTTTTTGACTGCATGGAAACCGGCTTTGATTGCTGCAACTGATCTAGTTGAACCACAAAGTTTACACTCAAGCATGTAAAGTCTTGTACTGGGGTCTTTATCTAGTTTGGTTTGATATTGTTTGCAATTGTGGCATCTGACATACTGCTCCATATACTTCTTGTATAATCTCTCAATATGCTTTCCTTGGAACTTACCCTGGAGAATTAAGTTATTCTCACCTCCCAACACACCTTCTACTCCCAACTCGGTAGAGATGAAACTGAGTAAATGGTCGTGCTTACGGTCGATTGCGGTAACCATAGTATCAAAGTTTTACCAAGCAGTCTTAGTTGTTCCTAGCTTGACTACGTATGGATCCTCATTTTTGTTTAGTTTGCTAGTTTCACCTATCAAAATATTCTTTTGAATCAGAATTTATTAGATTCTGGTTAGCATATCTTGATAGTTATATTCAACGTGACCCTCTGCTACTAATAGACTTGTTTTCTCTAGAGGAAATTTATAAAAATTAAGAAATTCTTACGATCTTTTTGATCAGCTTTATCGTCACCTTCTTCAGCAGCTTTTTCAGCCTTAGATTTCTTTGAGGCCTTCTTCTTCTTCTTTTTAGTCTTGGTGGTGGTTGAGAAGTCTATGATCTCAACGTCTTCATCATTTGGTTGATCTACGAGTGGTATATCTGACATTTTTATCTTTTAGAGAAGTATTAATTAATAATATAGAATGTTAATAAATTTAGCTCATTAATCTATATTCACTCCAATGGGGTTTTGGGGTTTTGGGGTTTTGGGG